GGGAGCTGGAGTCCCGCATGCCCGGGGTTGGGGGTGGGGGCGGCGGGCGTTCCTCCCACGCCCCGGTCGTTGGGACTCAGTCTCCAGGCGGGCAGGAGGGCTCCCGGGCGGGCATCTGCTGAGCAAGGAGGCTTCCCCCTCCGGGCTGAGAAGGAATGCCCCCCCGACGCCTCTTGGCTCCCCCTTGGGCTCCACCCGTGGCCGTGGCCGGGATGCCCGCTGGCCACCCACCCCCTGTGGTCTTCGGAACCCACCACGACCTTGGGCATCATCGTTAAGCCCTCCAAGGTGCCCCATGAAATGGCCCACTGGCATCCAGTGGACCCCCCCCCTTTTTCCCAAGGAGAAGCTGGCAGATGTTTTCCCACACCCTTGCAGGTTTCAGAGCCAGGCCTCTCCTGCGCTCGTCCTTCGAATTGCGCTCCCTTTTTGCTTGGTTTGTGACTGTGGATTTCTCAGGTCTCTTTTTCTTGGTCCTCCGCCAGGGACCGTCCCCACCTAAACTGGGTCATAGGCTGGGCGCCTGCTGGTTTTTCTCGAACTCTTGGTCAGCTTCTTTGCTCCCCAAACGTGGCCATCCACAGGCACTCTCCCCCTCCGTCTTTTACTGAAGACAACACATACAGCTCCGAAGGGCAAAAAAATTGCTCGAACACTTTTATGTTTCCAGAAGACAGAATTTGAATTTAAATGTGAAACCACAACAGACTCTGGGATACTTTTCCCCCAACCCCACATTTAAGGCACGTTTTAGGAGCTGAGCAAGCGAGTAGCCTTTATGCAACAGACTGCTCATCGTTACAGGAGGAACGGAAGCTGTCCAGACAGAGACACACTGGGATGGGGAGGACTGTTGTCGAGACCAGCTGGTGTTTTGGGGGGGGCTGTGCCCACGTGGACAGGGCGCATCTGCTGACCCCTCTGTGGCCTTTTGCTCCTTCCTGCCCTGGATGGCATCGCATCGGCAGGCTCCCGCTTCCCGCAATATGTGGCTTGGGGTTTGAATGGATGGCTTTGTGTCTAGGCAGACATTTGGGATCAACACAAACGGATGGGTGAAAACTCCTGCCACCACAGTCGCTGGGCGATGGTTTGCCTAACAGGGCAACCCAGCTATGTGTCTGCCTGATCCTCTGTGGGTCTCTACGTCAGTCCCCTGAGCTCAAGAGGCCCAGAGAACACCATTGCAGCCCCCTTTCCCCTTGCCAGGACTAAGGCTGTAGCAAAAAAGCCAACCAGCCAGCAAAAATAAAACACACACCAAAAAAACTCCTCTCTTTTCTCACATTTCAAAATTCCGGAAACAGAGCCCGGGTTGCAACAGGGCCGAGTGTTGGAAAGGTGGAGGACAGACGTCACTCCTTCCCAGGTGAGGAAAGATGCGCAAAGGCAGTCTGGACGTTGCTCTTGTCGCGAGGCCCACAGCTGTGAGCGGTGCCGTTTCCAGCCTCCTGCCCCCAGGTCTCCAGAGATAGCTCGCAGTCTCTCCACTGAGGAGCAACAGCCACACCCCCAGTGATGGTGAAACCACCCTTCCTGGTAGAGTTTCAAAACAGAAATAGATCCAGCGAGTGGGAATGGCAGGGAAGCAGGTCTCGGCCGAAGGTGCCAAGAAATGTCCGGGGAGTCCATTCGGAGGGCCACCTGAGGGCCCTCGGCCTGCCTGGATCCATAGAGCACAGGAGGCAGAGACGGCCAGAAGAGAAGAGCCCTCGGCAGTTGTCCATCAGCAACTCAGTTGCCGCCCGTGGGGCTCTGCGCTGACTCTGCCTGGCTTCCAGATCCAGGGAGGGTGAGGGAAAGGACAATCACCAGGATGAGGAGGAGGACAACTCCTGCTGCCACCCCTCCCAGGATGATCTTGTATTTCATGTTCTCCCAGCGCTTCTTCTGAGCCACAGTCTTGGTGGTCTTGCTGAAGGCAACACTCTGGAACAAAGGAACAACCGTAGGCAGAAGGTTTCGTGAGTCTTCATGCAGCTCGGAAGTAACCAGTTACCAGTAACTTAGTTAACTTTCCCCAGTTAGTGGTGGAAATCGAGCCATAAGTCGAAACTTGCATTTCCATCTGGATGAGAGGCAGGCTGGATTTCCACAACCCACTATGTTGCGCTTCTGTCCTCCCTTTGGGGAAAGGAGGGCCTTCTCCTTGGATTCCCCCCCCCAGACCCCGGGAGCCCCCTGCCTCCCCACGCCGTGGAAGCCACACCCTGAGGAGCTCCT